TTCTGCGGCGAAGGCAGGAAAGAAGGGAAAAGGAGGAGACTGACGGACTGTTGATGTCAGTGTCGTTCAACACGCACACTTCCGTGAGAGAGAAATTACACAGCCGAAGTTGTGATGTTTGATAGATTTAAACAAAATCTCTGGGGTCAGAGCCCCACGGTTCAACACCTCTGATAACTAATCCTGCCATTAGACTCAGTTTTGTGTCAGTTAGTTCATCTCCCATCCTCATAACTTATTTTCATAAAATATACCTTAATGTCATCCTACCGTCTCCTTCTTGGTCTTACTAGTAATTGTTTTCCAAGGGATTTTTTCCCCCGACTAAAGTCCCTGCTTTCCTGTGTACCCAATTACAGCTATCGTTTAGCCTACCAGATTCCACTTTATAAACAATACTGTATCAACTGCATAATGTACTTCCTCTTTATGTAATATTCTGCAGGGCTGAGTACAAAACAGATTTCTTTGTTTTAAACACTTCTGATTCATATTGTTTCGCCATTGAAAAGGACTGTTTTTCACGGCCTTATAAAACAAATAGAAAAATTAAAGATAAAGGTGGAGTTAAACATGAGCATTTGTTAATTACGTCCGATGAAATAGTTTTCTCTTTGTCCTGAACTCCATATCTTGGAATGGAGAAATAGAACGTTTGAAAGGATCGTACACGGCACAGTGTTCACTTTGCATTTACATTGCTAGTAATTCATAAAACTGTACATAGGTGCAATAAAGGTTTTATGTTTGAAATAAATCTCAAGACAAAATGAGGTGGGAGAGAAAGGAATTGGAGTAAAACACGTACAAAAATTCAAGGATTTCCTTGCGATGGTATATCAAATAAAGTACAAAAACGTACAATCATAAAAGTGAGATTTTTATGTTGACAATTTTCCATACATCTCCTCTTTGCTTTACATACGAAAATGTCTCTTCACCTCTCGGCTTTGCTCTACACAGAAATCCTGGTGATGGTGCCAGCTGAAATTTACGACTACTAAGTAATATCATACCAACAGACTTTAAACATGGCGTCCGACATCAAATATCGTGTTGTAAAAGTGGCGGTGAATCTGGCGTTCTATAACAAGTGGGGATTTCTTGAATACGTCTGTTGAGGGAATATTTTATACACAGGGGTTTATAAACTGGTTGGTTGGTTAGTAATTTAGTCTGTTGGTTAGTTAAAATGATAAAAATAAGTTTCTCTAGTGTTTTATAGTACAGAACCTCGTGTGTCACATTGATTTTCTCACAACTTTCTGTACGCTTACATATAGTGTTGCTATTCTTGACATATACTGACAATTCAGCCAAGAGGTATGGAAAAAAGGTAAGCTGAAATATGAATTTCATCTCTCAGAATTTCTCTACGTATCTCTGTCTATCATTTTTCTTAACTAGGAATCTTTTTATACGTACCTCGCCAGTTTTCTTTTACTCTCTGAACCTATTCTCTGAGTTGCTTCTTCTTGCACTTTTGTCGAGTTATTGCCCCCGAGGGGTGACGCAGGGTTGCCATAAAACAAAATAGGCTCGCCGACTTGATGATCCCTCGAGCAACTTGGTAACAGATATTTCTTTCCCCTCCCCACCTCAACATCATTGCCCTTACCTTGTTCTTTCACCTTCTCCGTCTTTATTGCATTTTTCTTCTCTTCTTCCTACTGTCTACCTTATTTCTCCACTGATGGCTTTCTTTGTCTCCTTCCTTTGATTTCCTAGTTTCGTCCTGTAATTATTGAAGGATTTGCTGTCGGAACGACCAGGTTTTATTTCGGGTTAAATGTCTCTTCTTGTAATCTTTAGTGGGTTCTGGGACTTCAGCTTTGAAACAAAACCGTAATTCAATCTCAATTAGGAAGTCCTGAACTCCAAACAAGAAGTCTGGAACGGTACCAGCTACTCTCATTCGCGTGATGCAGTCTTTGCCGTCAGAATGGAAAGAATGCAGGTTAGTACTTATATACAGTTTAAGAATCAATGTTTCTGCATAATTCCCACTACTAGACCTACGGATTCATAGTGTGAATTATATTTGCCGGAAGAATGCCATAGATTCACACCACATTATGTTTGCAGTTATTAGCACATAAGAATGATCTATGGGGGAATTTCAAGTGTGCTTGTGATCTGTCACCACAACTCACTTCACATATCCAGCTCCACAGATTCAAATAGTTACCGCCATCAGACGTAAAACTACATGCAGAATTCGCGCAGCTGCCATGTTGTTGATTTATATTTAGTAAAAACGTCTTATCAATACTTTTATATATTTTGGATCTCCATTTCCGCAATATATTTCAGGATCTTGCAAATAATGACGCTACTCTATTTCCAACCCCACATACAGCTTATAGGCAGGCTTAAACAAATATTCATGTGTCGTGTTTATACTTTGGAAACATGCTGTAGATGTAAGGTCGATTGGTATAAAATATACCCACACACTGACCTGTCACGTATACGTCACGCCTCGTACTTCGATTGATTTCGGACCACGGCTCATTTCCAGTCCGTTTCCAAACTCTGAATTCTGCACCAAATCCAGTCCCAAACCACTACGCCAATCACCTGCAATTTTTCTCTTTCACTATCCCCCCTTTATTCATTTCTTTCTCTCTCACTCGTTCTCTTCTTCTTCCTCTCTCACGTTCCTTTCTGTCGCTTTATTCCTGCTCTGTGAAAAGGCTTAGTTTTGTTCTGTATTAGTAATATCGACTCTTGGGAGGAGTAACTTGGTTTTATGGGATCATAGCCGGACAGATATTACAATATGTTTACAAAATATGTATACACTCGAAAAACACCTCATCTTTTTTTTATTTATTTAGTCGATTTGTGTTATAGAAGAATCCTCTCGCTTTTAATGTTAGTGATTTAATTAACTAGTGGTCTTTGTTATGAATGTGATAGTCACTCAGATGGCCAAGAACCTTTCTGCCATTTATGGTAACAAGATATTCACTAGAACCCACCAGTGGCCTCTGTCTTTAATTCAAACCTTGTTTATTTAATATCCAATCACTCAGGCAGCGTAATTGCTTTGCTGTGAATCGATAATTTAAATATTTAGTATATTTTCAGCTAAGACAGTATGTATTAAAATAAATTTTATACCTAATTGTCATCAACATGCTTTGTTAACACACGAGTTTAGTTCAGCAATGTTTTGATCACCTGTTGTCGCTGTTCTTGTAATTATGGTTAGTGATATGATAACACCATTGCCATCTCTTTCTCTGAGAACAAAGCACGAAACGGTTATATTGTTCTGACTCCAGCATCATCATGTAAAGAGGGTTGGAGACTTTTTGTTCGGGTTTTCGAGATTTCTTGATTAGTTCTATAATTAACTATATAGCGCAGTGTCTATGACAGTTATAGACGTGAGAGTCAAGATTTGCTTAAGCGTTTCCATGCTACACACGATATATCTCGGCCATAAAATCTTTCTCGTCTGATTTATATTTATGTGTTTGATGCCAGTAAACGAGTGCTACCACATCTGAACCGTTAAGGCTAACTGTTCTTGGCTTTTCAACGCCGGAAATTATATGTTGTCGTAGTAGTATAATTATATGGATCAGAGCCTTTTTAAAAATAAGAACTCTTATGGAATCCGAAATTCTATTATCATGTTCAGAAAAGCCCGCAGTCCATCTCAGCCATCCTATTTCTTTAAGGTAATTCTAACATACTGAGCTTCTATTTACATCTAAATCATAAATTTGTCTCATTCCTTTATTGTTTCCATCCAAAATATTATATGCTGTTCTCATATGTTCGATGCATGCTAAATGTTCTGCCCATCCCATCTCATCCTCGTAATACTAATTGATAGAGAGGTTTCCTGTAATAAAAATCAGCATTGAAAGGGTTGAATGCAGAATGAGGTTTGTCTCTGAATTTTGCTACCAATTAGAAATCTCAGCCATCCTATTTCTTTAAGGTAATTCTAACATACTGAGCTTCTATTTACATCTAAATCATAAATTTGTCTCATTCCTTTATTGTTTCCATCCAAAATATTATATGCTGTTCTCATATGTTCGATGCATGCTGAATGTTCTTCTCATCCCATCTCATCCTCGTAATACTAATTGATAGAGAGGTTTCCTGTAATAAAAAGCAGCATTGAAAGGGTTGAATGTAGAATGAGGATTGTCTCTGAATTTTGCTACCAATAAGAGAAATGGTCTCCCGTCTCCCCACTTCGCATGAAATCCTACGTCTATTCAGTACCTAAAATAGTTATTTCATATACGAGAAAAGCAGTGCATTGCAATGTCTAGCTTTGGTTTGTCGTAGGTTTCCAAACAGCAAAGTCTGTTTCATAGAAAAGTTTTATTAAGGGAATGAGCGTTGTCTTAAGGGAAATAAAGAAATGTTGACAGTAACTACGGCCATGTTAATGTCTTTCAGCCCGACTCGAAACAAAAGTGAATCGTGTTCTGTCTCGCCGATTTCGACGTGAGAGGTGGTAGGAAGGAAGTGTTAACTGTGTTGGCCCGGATAACATTTTGAAAAATGTTTTTTTCGAGATTTTAATTGCATAACTTTGTTACACGAGTGTGCCTTGTGACTTGAGATTGTGTGTCACTCAAGATGAAGTAAAATGTATGTACTTAGTTGTCAACATTTTTAAGAACTCCGCCTCAGGATTTGGCTAACAATTTTGAATAAGTGACGCTTCGCCACTGGGTCTTAGAGATGACAATAAATAAGTTGAAATTTCTAATGAGCTGTCCTTATAATTGCGCTCTGTTGAGACATCTTCCTGAATAGTTTTCCTCCAGTTTTAGCATCTAAATTTTCTTTCTCTCCATTTGTAGCTCGACATTTTTTTTACGAACATGAAGATCGCAAAGTAAGATTCAGTCTGTACCAAATTTTCTTAATTCATTTGTGAATATATGTTCCGTTTGGTGTTCTAATTAAATAGCGTGCACAAAGGATATTGTAAAATGTTAGTAAAATTAAGAAACGTGATGATATGTGAAAGAAATTAATTTATAGCTCCGTTTTTTTACAAAAACTTTGATAAAATAGAGTCAAGGACGAAACTGTAAGTTATAAAGTAATTTATGTTCCGCAAGAAGAATATTTTGATTTCCTTGTTCCGTGTTTTTGTTGCAAGTGAATTAAGATATAAAACAAAATAGAACAGAAAGTTTAATGTTTTTGTTGATGTGTGTGACGATTTTTTTTTAATAATTTATTAAACCCAATAAAATCTGTTTTCCTACCATCAGTTTGTGATCTCTTTCTGACTTTAATAACGCGGTGTCAGTATAAATTTACTATCTCCATCTGTTAAATGTTGGTAGTGTATTGAATTTTAACGTAAAAAACTAATGTTTAAAGTGTTTTGCATTACAGGTCCTTGCCAGTTATTTAATTTCGTGACATAATATAATATTACACAAGAATTTATCTTGCATATCGGTATATTTAAAACATAAATACTTAGTATAAATGTTATGATTCTTATGTCTTCCTGCAACCTGTGAGTACATGTTTGTATACTAAAATTAAATCCAGAAATTTTTCACGATTATATAAAAGCAGATATATGCATAAAAATGGATGATGAAAGATTGAATTATAAAAGAGATTTGGTCCTCTTCAAGTCCACGAAGTGGTGTCTAGATGGCGGCACATCTTGATGAACAAATCATGATATCACGTCATCCCGAACCTCTTGTATATACATTCTTTGACCCTGAAACAGATACATCAAAAATAAATCATTTAACGCCCGTGGACACACAAGGGTCAAATATATTTGATATTGTATTGTATTTATCATTGTCATTTCAAGCTTTATGGTAAGGACATCTGTAGCGACAAACGAATTAGGTGCAGTTTTAACAAAATAAAAACAATTTTATTTAAAACATTTTTGGGACTGAAAATATAGTCTTCTTGGCTAAAATGATGAATAACTTTGTTAAATTGTTTGTGTTAATCAAATGAATGAGCAAACGAACATGTGCATATCGTGTACTTGCCTTTGTTGATATTTTAATAATATTATACATTTTCCGCCCATATGGCACATATTCTTAGGATGGGTTTGAAACCAGTGGGGAAATGTATAAATATTTTAACTTGAATTGCCGTAATAGGACACGCCAATAAAGTTTGATACTACTTGAGGCAAAGAATAGTATAGAAAAATAACGCTGTTCTACTTTATACATTATTTTTTCTTTTAAATAAACCACAAGTATTGACCGTAATAGAACACGCGGCAGTGCATGAAATAGTAAATATCATTTCGTTCTCTAAAATGTTGTGACAATGGTTGTTTCGTTATATCAAAATTATGCTAAGCCTTCGTCTATTCTGGTCCTGCGGGTTGTGAAACCACTTTCTCTCATTATTACAACAATTTGTAATAACAGCACAACAATGAAGAATGCCTTGAACAGAGTGTGCACATATATATATATAATGAAAAACACATAAGCCTTGAACAGAGTGTGCACATATATATAATGAAAAACACATAAAGTTACAATGATACATTATTTATGTGACTCGAAGTGTTTAACCCAATCAACACTTAACACGAGTCGGTGTCTTTGAGACAGAAACACAAGTACCACAGTTAAGACAACTGTACCACGTGCTTTAAAGGAAAAGAAAGGCATGGAAATGTTGCACAAATGTTAATCTCAACAATTAAATATCTAATATGGCTTTTTAAAACCTCGTAGGTAAAGACAAAATTATGCATAAAATAAAACATGACTTTATCAACTCAGTAATTTACGTTATGTATTAAAGAGTTAATTAAGGTACATATTTAATCACGTTCGAATGTTTAATGGAAGGGGCGATATTTATCCACGGCTGCAGTACGTTACAAATGACGTCACTGTTATCAGACTCTTGTCAATTCATTCGTTGATAAATAAGCAATAACTATAATGGTGATTATTAGTGGTTTCCATGACGTAATTTGGCTTGATGTTACTGTGCCTCTGTAATTATATTTATTTGCATGTCCCTGCATTTATTTTTTACATTTGTATATTTCGTAAGTAATATTTTGACAAGAATACAATTCCTTAGTAACGATTTTTGCAGTACTTTTAATAGTAACGTCGATCTGATCAAACACGTTACAAAATGTAGATGGAACTAAAATCTGCAAATTTTTGTTTCACACATATTTCGATATGGCGAATATTTAAAGAACTACAGGGAAAAATAACTTTTCGTTACTTTCACTGTAATGTGTGAAGTTTTATTCGGCTAGATGCAAAAGCTTTACATTTTCAATACTTGATTTGAATCTTCAGTAAATGAATATCAAGGTTACTTTTGTATTCATATACGTAAAGAACGCATTAGGAAAATAAGTGCATTGTATCTGATTACTTTTTTCTATTGCACCACAGATGTAGAACACAGTACATACTGTGGTAGATACAAGTAGACAATAACATTCATGTCATAGTATACGCATGAGAATAAAGACATGTCTAACAGTTATGTCTAACACTGTTTTAGTTTGTGGTTTTATGAATTATGACGCTATGTACCCTTATAGGTGGTTATTGACCTTTTGGAGGAACCTACAGAATAGACATGACTTCTCCAATACTACATTTTCATTATAATACAGAATATTAACGTTGTTATTGATCTCCGTGTGATATGTTCACGAAAGACGTGAACTGTGACCATTTGTAATAATTAACGTTGTTATTGATCTCCGTGTGATGTGTTCACGAAAGACGTGAACGGTGACCATTTGTAATACCTGCACTAACTAGATGGCTTCCTGAACCCGAAGGTTCATCATCGAATTAACCAAAGACCTCCACCGGACTCTTTTCTGGGCCAACAAAATCTAGTCACCTTCAACTCCTATCTCCCATAGATCCCACCTGACATTATCCTCCCATCTACGTCTAGGTCTCCCCAGCGGTCTCTTCCCTTCAGGTTTCCCAACCAATACCCGGTGCACATCCTGATCCGAGGCTTGGTTGCACTAGATACCCTAATTCACTAACTTATGATGCTGACGTATATAATAGTTTAGTTTATTAAAATGCATTCATTTCAATGATTCAGTGTGTGTATACTCATTCTTGGGAAACCCAGTATAATCCGTTATGCTGATGTATACGTCGAAAAGAGGGATGTATCGTGGATAAATTTTAATAAAGGAAACTGATCACATTAATTACGTACATACCAGAAGGAAATTCAGCAGTCATCGTCTCCCGTACACTCTGCGGCAGCCGCCATGAATCAGGCGATAGCCTCTGGGACATTTTGCGTTGCTCTGTGACTCAGCAGAGGTCACTGAATCGTCTGGCTTATTGTTCCTGTGAGGAAAGCTTAAGGGCACAGCTTCAGCAGGGGGATTCAGACGTAATACAATTGTGAAGATCAGAATGGACACCAGGAAGAGAAACGTCACAGATTTTGTCATGTTTCTCTTTCAGTGTTGTGTTAACCACGAGAAGAGCGTTGTTTGATGTAGACCTGTTACCTCTAGTTTCCGTCACACCAAAGAAGTTATTTAATATTGTGAAACGTGTTATCTGTCTCAGTGATAAAAATACAAAATTTGTACTTGCCGACAAATATTTGATGGAGAAATAAATCACTTCTATTCTGTGTAGCCTAAACTTGGATAAATGTTATGCACTACTCAGGATTTCTTCTTTTCTTCAACAAGCAAAGTATCAGAACTGCGTCGTAATTATATATGACCAAGGAAGTTGGTTAAGTTACAAATTTTAAGACAGAGGAAGCTGAGATTATCTTAAAACGTGTGACTTTAAAATATTTGAAGGTCATCAGCTGGCTATCTGTTATTATAATTAACCACAATTTGGAATGAATTGATGGCGTCGGTAGCGTTAAGACTTCCGGCCAGTGTGTTTTTGATAGAGCTGCAGGAAGTATAGACCCTGTTCTGTTGCGAAATTTATGCCCTGTTAATTAAGTCTATAATTACCGGAAATGTGATATATATATGCGTTGAGCGTTCTAATATTTTACTTAATAAATAGGAAACCAGGCGTTAGAATATCAATTGATAACGCAGTACTACTTAGGTGATTACTAATTTTTTAAAGCTGTTTTCTTACATCGCGGATATTTAGGTATTGCCCATTTTCTGTGCTACACACGACGTTTCGTGAGTCACCTGCACCCCGTCTTCAGGTAAATGGTTGTCATACTGAGAGATAAACAGGCTCCTTATTTATTTCGATATTAACTGTGGTAAAGTGGAGGCGAGGGTTGATAACAGAATTTTGATGGGGAATTCTTCTAGAAATCGACCACTGGGCAGACCAAGAAGGGGATGGGAGGATAATATAAAGATGGATCTTAGGGAGGTGGGCTGCGGGGATGGTAAATGGATGGAGTTGGCTCAGGATCGTTGCCGGTGGCGGGCTTTGGTTTCGTCGGTGTTGGACCTGCGGGTTCTGCTACCAGGGAGTGAGTTAGTTTGACTGAATCGAACCCGTAACCCTTAGAATAATGGCAGGGTTGAGTGTTATAGTGTTTCGACTGCAGCCACTCGTAATAACACTCAGCGAAAGTCTTAATTAGATTTAACTTCCGAAAGTAATGTATTTAAAATATGCACAAGACTGTAGATAATGTCCAACTTAACTGTGATGTAATGAATCAACCATTGTAACGAATGTTTAGAGAAAAATTGGCTATTTTCTGTATTGTAAGAGACTGGTGTCGAAAATTACATGATTTAGTGAACTATGATTATAATACGCCTATATGTCTTAGTGAAAATGTTAAACTTTTTACTTATGGGGATCTGTGTTAATTGACTTTAATTTTTAAATTTCGACATGGTGGAAGTAGGATCCTTCTGTCTCCTCATCACCTTCTTCATCTTCTTTCACGCTTCACGCATTCTTGCATCTACAACTGATCTTTCCATCTTTTCTTTACGCTTACCTGTAACGAAGCATCCAGCTCCTCAGGGAAATTTAATGACTTAGATGAAATGGAATAGCAGTAACTTGATACCATACAGTATTCTTAAGAATATAATTTATATTCCTGCTTCACTTCCAGAAAATATTCTCCTCATTTAGACAAATAGCTTTTATCCTTAAGACGGCTGTCTTCTGGGTTGTTGCGCTGTGCAATCTGCTGGAAGTTCACCGACGTTCCATAGGTGCCTGCTGCCTACATCATCAGGGCGATGAGTGCCCTGATTATGGAGGTAATACGCTTATCTGAAGCGCCTGTCGTAAATTTCTACAAGACTGCACTGTTCAGTATCCCAAAAGACAGTCGTCTTCATACTCGCCGCCGTGAGAACCTGAAATCTCGCTGTGTAGCCTCTTTACTTCCAGAGCGCCCTTTTCAACAAAAGCGTTTTCACTTCAAAAAAACAATTCTATCCCTGCTACTGAAATGCCTTAAACGTGTTCTTGCCTGCCGGGTTTCTTTTCCCCTGATTGTTAGACGCATCTTCCATTCACTCGTCGACACCATTGCTTTCTTCTGGTGGCGAGGCCTCCTAAGACAACTTTAGGGTTGGCGTACATGACGGGTGTCATGGCTATTAGAATCAGCAGCTCCACCCAATATACCCACCGCATAGTTTCTAGAACAGATCAAGAAATACCACAACATGGAGACGCTCGCGTATTCGTTGTTGAAACCTCGCTGACCGACGCATTCAAACACGTTCGAAGAGTATGGAAAAAATGAAATAAATACGCAGAGAAAATGGGGACGAGTATACTAGCGAACCAGTGAATAATATAATTCGAAACTTAGCAGCCTTTTGTATTCAGAAGGCACTAGGTTCTGTACTTGGCTCGTTGTTTCTTGATGGCAGGATGATTTTAAATTGGACCTTGAAGAAGTATATGTGAATATATGGACTTTATTCAACAGGCACTTGATATAATCTAGTAATGGATTCCTATGAAAAGGTTAATGGAACTTCTATGTCCACAAAGGGTGGATATTATTTTACCGTTTGAGTGACTGTCGGTTTCTCAAGAAGGACCCTGATTCATATTAGGTTAAAATTAAATATTGTTAAGCTGTTCGTTATGTAACTCACTTAAGTCAAAATATCATCCTAAACACTTTTTTTGGCCATAGAGCTGTATAACACAATTGGACGTACACGATACTGACTCTCAGACACAGGTATTGCATTTTGTAAGTTATAATATCGATGTATTTTAATACAATGGACATGTAGATTTAGAGTATTATGATTTATTGATTCGTGATATAAATTTCCAACACCCTTCCCTGCACCTGCTGTAACCCACACTGCGTACTCACAGAGAAATCTGGTAGTGACAACTTGGTTACAAATTTGAAGCACTAAACTGAACGACTGATGAGTGGAGACTAAACGGAAACGCTGTTGTCCGGGCGACGGAAGAGCAACGAGGCACTTGAACACAGGATGCGGGAAATTGTCATTGGGACGTGAGCCTCTTGACTCCCATCAACTCCATTACTGTATTGGGTAATCTGATTGCAACAAAAGACGATCACACTCCGCATGTTTCCTGCTTGGTTAACTTTTTATACCACGTAGAGCATTGAACAGGAAGAAAACAGGGAAGAAGGAGGAAACGTAAGTGAATAAGAAGAAGAAGATTAAGGACTGCTGAATGCAGGGGAGGAGCAGAATCGAAGATCTGGATTGTTTTATTTTGGGTTACGACACCTGTAATCTTGTAAGTGATCAGCGACGTTTCGAACGAACGTGTCGCCTCCATCTTCGAGGTCTTATATTCGTACATGGCACATCTGACATCTGTTAACACTCACCCCCATCTAGTGCCCAGGTCAAGAGTTAGGATCTGTACTAGCTCTCCCTCCAAGCGCCGACGTGGAGTATAGTGAGTGAGCTTTACTTTTTATGTAAAACAGTTTCTGTGCATATTTTATTTTAAAATGTATACTGTAAAACGTAACTTCAACCCTTTTAAACTTCGAAAAAAGTTGTATCCTATTGATTTTCATACATTTGTAGGGCACAGAATATTGTACATAAAATCTAGAAACAGTTTATAAAATTGTTTGCTTTAGATTAGTCACAGATACATCTGCACTCTAAACGGCATATATATTTTGTTTTAAATCTTTTCTGTGTAATTAGAGGTAAAATTGGAGTATGAGTAATGTTAAAAATGCGTCAGTGAATTACAAATAAAAATTGAGATTAGATAGAGTTAGTGCGCTAACACGTCGATGCTATAAATTAATTAGACTCTGAAGATTTCCGTCTTCTGGGTTGTTGCGCTGTGTAGTCTGGTCGATGTTAACCAACGTTTCAGAGGTCATACTCACCGCTGTGAGAACCTCAAGTCTTACTTACTTAGACTCTATTACATATTTGGTAAGACAAGAAGGAAAATGAAGCCTTCTGCGTGGTCCGACGGAGAAATGATACCGTATCTCGAAATATTTGTATGTCAATAGACAGAAGAGGCGTCTTTATTATCCTTGCAGGAAGAAGGAGATTAGGGAGTTTGTAATCGTAAAACTTATGAACGGAAGAGTATCTTCTAACCAAAAAGAAAAAAATACTTATCTTACATGTAGTGGAAATTGTCGCCTGCGTCACAACGTATATGAAATTATGTGGGTGTGTCTACAGGTATGAACAGAAGTGCGTCATGATGTAATTCCCCTTAAATATCAGTAAACCATAGTCAGGATAGATTTCAGGTTGTCACAAGTGCGAGTACAAAGATGTCTTCTGTCTTCCGGGTTCTTACGCCGTGTAGACTTTTAGAAGTTTGCTGTCTCCATCATCGGGGTGATGAGTAATGAGACTAAAAGGCGCAACAATCAAGCAGACAGTGATATTCAAATTATAGTCAACTCATTTTTATATTATTAGTAATGGAATATTTGTACATTTTTCCTCTCGTTCTTAGTAACATCGCTAATACAAATAGTGAAAATAATGGGTAAAAAGAACAGCGTTGTCTTACAATAGGATTAGTTTCTTTAGTCACATTTTGCCTAATACAAAAATTGAACAGAGCATGAGCAAGGAATCCAGAATTCACAGCGCACACAGTGCAGATGACCTGCAGGGCACCGGCTTTCAGATCAAGGTATTCTTGCTACTGCGCCTGTATTTGTTAGGTACCTGATATCAGACGCCTGCAACCTGAATAAGGTACCTTCGTAAATTTCTTCAGTATTTCCAGGTGAATTCCAGGGTAGAAATTTTAAGCAAGCCGTGACTGTCACCTTCCATGATTGTTTGCGCCATCTCGAGTATTTAAAGTAGCTCGAACAACTTTGTCAAGTAACCAAATAATCAAAAGGATGCTGATCGAGATGTAGGGGTCCATACTTTTATTCGGGACGAATTTTCTTTGAATATGGTCCAACTTTTCGACCGCATTGGCAATGTTACTTTTCCTCCGACGACTGCCGGTATAAGACATTGAAACAGACTAGAATTATTTTCCGATATCATTAGGTACTATACCATCTGTGTAGTTGGAAGGGAGTCGTTAAATAACACGTAAACCGACCAGTAACATTCTCAGCCATCCTTTAAGCATTCTCCAGTCGCAGCCTGGTGACGCAAAATGCACTTAAGTTTCAAATTTGGAACAGTGCTTATCGTGGTACTTACCCCGGACCGAACCTGGCTCCAAGTGAAGACCTTGCGGCACTGCCCTGAAGAATCTCGTCGGTACCCTTGCTGACAGCGGGTAGGAACGCGAATGATGTGATTCCAATGCAATGTGTAGCATTGTGCAGCGTGGGAAAGTAACACTAAGCACATAAGTGTCGTTAGCTGCATTCTGAGATAGTGAGTTTGACAGTGTCACTAAGAGCCGCGCGTTTTTATAGGCCAGCGAAACATTATCTGTCTACAAAACTGCCAGTAAGTTCTTCTTGGAGGTGTAATAAAGTTACGTAACTATGGTCGCTAGGTATAACATTGTAAAGATAAGACTGGAAAGTGTACTCCAGTGGAGTACGCATATTTCCAAACTCGTTCTTTACCAGTTCGCACAAGCCATAGATTTTAACCAAATATGTCGTTGATAATAAGGCTGTTAAGACTGCAGATAAACTACATAGGGAACGAAATTGATTTTCGTTGTGTTCCTTCTCGTTTGCTGCATAAAAATTAAACATTACAATTTATACAAGTGCAGTTTATCTTTCGTTATGTATGGGCGTGAAACATGGCGTCTCATCAAGGGAAAAGCGCAGACCGAGTGTGTATGACGGTCCCCAGCTTCAGTACTTCAGCCTTGAAGATGGAGACAGTATGTTTCTCCTAAATGTTACGATCTACCTACGAGTCTACATACAGTCACAACCCAAACGAACATTTTCACCATTTGACAATCCATGAGTGTAGCTAATCATATTTCATTTAAACATTCTTTCTTTCTTTCTTTCTTTCTTTCTTTCTTTCTTTCTTTCTTTCTTTCTTTCATATAGTCTGAAGAGAATATTTCGTCTGACTTTATGTATATTGATATTTGTCTTCTGGGTTGTAATGTCTTGTGGACTTTTAGGTAGATACCAACGTTTCAGACGAACCTGCTGTCTCCGTTTTCAGACTTGAAGTACAATAACATGTTTTCTGAAAGATTGATGTCATCGACAGTAATGAATTTCGTACGCGACGTGTGTAATTTTAAGTGTATAAAAGTTACTCAAATTATTTGCAAATATTTATCATGTCCAAACACTGCAATTCTGATACCTGTAATTCCTGATAAACTTTATGTAGGGATAAAACAGGTGGGGATGTCAGCGTATATTTTGTTTATATGATACACAAAATGAAATAGGCTGTTTTACATACATTTAAAGTGTTCATTAGAGTAAAGTGGCCTTAGAAATGAATATAGTATAGGCCTTTTGAGAAATTCAGTCAGCACAATTTGGTACAATGTTCATAATATCAACTAATATTCTTGTAGGTTATCAGTATAATTGTTTCTTTGAGAACGAAAATTAGGACCCAGTATGGAATGATGAATTGTACAATTAATTTTAAGAAAAGAGGCAAAACATTTCGTTCTGCCTTAATCTTGGCATCATCTTCTGCCTGCCTCATATTGTAAGCCTATTCTTGGGACCCTGAAACAAAAAGAAATACAGTATAAATTTTAAGGTTTTCACGGCAGTGTGAACATCCTTGATCTTCTGGGTTGTTGCGTCACATAGGATTTTGACCGTGAATTAAAATTTCAGAGGAACATACTGCCTCCATCATCAGTCCTTTACAGTCCATTACTTTATTCTGTAATAAAATATTTACTGTCTCACCTGTAGTGACGTGTTCCCCTCGAAAATAAATTTGTCTAGGCCCAAAATAAAATCAACCCATCTTAGGGGTCCTATATACAAATTTGCACCGTCCGGATGAATCCATCCTGTATCCTACATGACATGTTCGTGCTTTCTGACAAGGAGCACGAACCAAATGCGTTGGATGTACTTTCTTGCTTCCCCACACGAAGCCCACAACACAAACGACCAGTATCACCATGACAATAACCACTTTGTTTTCTGCCATTACAAATCACAGTACAAACGTTTACTTCCACGATTCAAATGAGTGTGTGATGCCACCGGTAGAGTCATGACAGCGCATGTAGAGGATATGACAGCCGAACCTCTTCCTTCCTTACTTACGCAAGATGTTATTTTAAACCAGCTTTCCTCGTTTCCTTTAAGAGACATATCACGACTTTGTTATAATTTCCGTGTGTCTGTTACCCTGTAAAATTTGATAAGATTGACGTATTTTAAATAAAATTAGGTCGAACTTCGTGCCTCTGGGTCAGTGTTCCTCGACCGGTGTGCCGTCAAAAGTTTCAGGTGTCCCACGATTTTTGAAAAAGAAATTGTAGACACACACCGGTTTATCATCAGTGGTTTTATTCGACATGTGGCATGATTTTGTTTTCATATGTCTGATTCGTTTGGAGCTTTGAATTTATGATGGCCATGTACATTTTCGTACTCCCTTTTCGTGAAGCGAAATTTTGTGGTGTGCCATCATGTGTCTTTGGAAAATCATGGTGTGCCGCAGGAGAGGAAAAATGTGTTTGGAAAATCATGGTGTGCCGCAGGAGAGAAAAAATGTGTTGCGGAACACTGCACTACACAATGCCTAGTCTTTGAACATTTTAATTCCAGAATATCAGTAATGCCAACATTGCGACAGTGCAAACTTAGGAGATTGGAGCGAAATAAATACATCTCAGTACTGGATCCTGAAATTGTGTGTGGCAGTTTATCTTCAATAAGATGCAATTTTATTCCCTGTATTATTCTGTAGAACGTTAGACAACATCGGGGCCTCGATATTTAACTTCGGTTTTGATTGCGATATCTTATCTGATGAGTAGTAGGAACGTGTATTTTTAAAAATTATTCATAGAAATAACAATTGTATAATTAGTAGTTTATAAAATCTCTCTGCCGCACGATATAGGCTGAATTATTTTAAAGAAAGTGGGTGTCATAAATTCTTCTCAGAACTTATTCTTACTTAACTGTGGTGTGTGTTTATGTTTTGATATTCGTATGTAAGTATGTATGTGTGTAGTTTCCATTGCCACGTGCCTTAACATAGAAACGCATAAACCAAATACCTTTTACCTAATTTAATTGCGAATGTTGGAAACATGGGTTCTGTTTCTCGACTAATATTTTTAAAGGTAAACTTAGTGACTGGCAATTTTTCTTCAGTTAAACAAGAAATAACTTTGTAATAACAAAAGAAGTATTTAAACACATAAATACGTCATTAACATTACTTTACGTTAAATTTTTTATGTATTAAGTAATTGCACTTCTACTCACTTAAAGGTCACTTAATGGCTTAAATTAAGAATTTGGAGATTTATAGAGATACATTGGAGGACGTATTTAGTGTATTGCTGTCTGACATCGACAAAGGCTTCCTATGATTTTTTTTTTAAATTACGCCTGTAAGTTCTTTAGTTGAAGGAATGTTAGATTTAATTTGTTACTTAGCAACTTAGTCTTACTTTCTTTCTCTCTCTAGGTTATTCTTTCCAAACAAAGTAGAAGTCTTGTACATGCGAAGACTTGACGTAAATAAGGCATTGTTCTTATTAAGAACGATAGCCCATGTGTGTATGAAAGTTGTGCAAACCAGAGGCAACGTAAATCGGGGAACTTCTTTACTCTACCGGGTGGATAGTTTGTCGTTCAATCGACTTCCAGCGATTTATCGGCGGTAATGGCTCCACATCTGTCCGGGAATTCCGTCAGCTCTGCGTAACTTAGACTGTAAATAAATTGCGCAACCTGTATAATACCTTCTGAAGAGTAGCAAAGAACCCTAGATACCTACTCTTGTGCACTTCAAACACTTGTCTGCATTGCCCATGTGATTCCCGCTTGAATCCTTCACTGCAAGGTTTCCCGTTGCTAGAATTTGGCGCTGAGATTATGAAAGCAAATCCTCCCACAGGAGCTCCTAGCGCCAAAAGCATGGCTGTCACAGCCACAAGCAATCGGTCCCACAGCATTTACTCTACCGACGGAATGCATGTTACGACAGATGCTTTTCCTAGACGAACTCGTAAAATGTTTTTTTTCTTTTACTGGAGCGTGATTCAGGTCACCTCACTGACTGCGATAGTTTGGGACGTGTCAGGTAAACATCGCCATAAAATTCTAACTGAATTACAAGGAGTCTTCCTTGAAACGCTGATAATATTTTACTGCCCAAGAAATTGCTTACTGTTATGGGACACGAAGTTTCATTACCATGTTCATAAAAGCCCTATTCTGAACGAGATCAATCCAGTCCACGACGTCAAAATGGATATACGCCTTAGATCCAGTTTAATATTATTATCTCTTTTATATGTAGATCTCCCAGGCGTTTTCTTATTTTGAAAATTTCCAAACAATCTCTCCCATACATTTCTTAGTTTACTATATGTTGTACATTTTCCGCCAGTCTCATTTATTAGGCGAAGAATAAAAGTTGTAAAGTTCTTCATTACATAATTTTCTTCGTTATACTCTTACTTCGTTCTCCTTGAGTCCAGGGTCTTCCCCGGTACATTTTCTTCAAAATAAATCTAAACATTTCTCGCTTAAGAGTGCCTGCGTAGTGCAAATTGATCCAAGTTTAATCGTGCAAGACTCTGCATTCTTAATATTAACGATCTTGTAAAAGAAAATGAATATTATATTATTCCGTAAATTTTATACGGTGAACATAAAATAAGTCACTTTTTCTAAACCGTTCGTTAGTAACACTTTTGAGGAACATACTGCTCCCATTTTCAAGGCTGAAGTCCGCACGACTTTGCAATATTAACATCAACGTCGTGAGAATCTCATTTCTCATTAATAAAGTAAATTGTGGGTCTTCATTTGAATCTACAGCCATTGTTTCTATGGTAAATATAATGCACGTAAATAAAATGTTGTGGGTTGGGACCAGTATTTTTTACAAGAAACCTTATAATGTTCTTATAATTTATTGGAGGAGACAAAACCGACAGACACGCGAACACACGATACTACAACCCACAATCTCCCTGCATAAATGCTTAAGACGGATATCAATTTTTTCACATTATACTAAATCCTATTGAACGACAGACTATGCATGTTCTTAGCGTAACATTATCCCAACACATACCTTCAAAATGGCTGCTATATTTCTACTTCAGCCTATCCACTACTTTCTCCAACTGTTCCAGACCTCTGGTATACTTTCCTGCAAGTCCCCTTATAGTACCTTTCTCCCTTCGGGCATTGAGGCCTTACAGGTGCGTCCAAGATGTTGCGAGGATCGGAGGTAGTGGTGGACACTTCAAGTGTTACACGAAAGCTGCTAAGGGATTCCTTTGTTATCACCAACACAACAAATATAATTGCACAAAACATTCGGAATATCATTCTTAGAAACTCAAAACAATTTAATTACTTTGCGAATTTTAGTACACCGTCAGGTAGCTTTACTAGTGTCTTTGCAGCATTTAAGTCGATGTTATTTAAGCTATCTTTGTACTATTATCCGATACTGTGAAGGTTTCATGTTTTGTCGCCATGTTTATGACGCAATTATCTGCAAACGGAAATAAAATGGCGAGTCAGTGGTTGGACACCTTCCGTTTTCCTGTTTCGGCTTTCTAGTATAGTACTTCCTGTCTCAAGACTCGCAGCTCTCCCTGATATAATGTTTAAAATCAAATTTTATAATGTCCCTTTTAGCCCTATAAATTTCTGGTCATATCAGTTACAAGCACTAAAATGGAAGTGTTGTTTCTCTTCTAGCTGTTAAGAATTATATTTGAAATCAGCGAAGTGCTACGTTACGATCTGCGACATTCCCTTCTCTTGCAACTCCATTCTGGAGTGTTTGCCAAGTACAACTTATAAATTCTTTTGAAATCATCGTTAAAGCTTCCAGTTATCAAACAGACAGTGTTTTGAAGTACATAGAGAACGTCGTAGACGAGTGGTTAGCACTTCTGCTTCGCATGCTGAAGAACACGGCTTCAAATCTCGGTCCGTTAAGTGTTTATCTTGACTGAAGTTTTCTGTGGTTTTCCTCAGACCCACCAAGCAAGTGTTGGGATGGTGGCTTTAAATTAGGCCACTGTCCCTTCCTTCCTTATAGGCTACTTCTTGATTCCGTATTTTTATTATCCCATCGTTCAACGCGAAAAAGTCTGAGCTCCTGACAGCGTCATTAAATATGTCAAAGTAAATAATATTTGGTGAAGAGATCGAGTTACGAAGCCACGTTTTCTTATTTTCCGTTTTAGACTAATTATTCTTTCCTAGTACAGTTATTCTGCTCACAATTTTCAAAAATACTTTCAGCCTCACGGCCCGTGTGCAACCCTCAGCTTCCTCTCACCTGTAAAGTAAAGTTTGTCCCGCTACGTGCCATACACCTGTATCAGACTCAATATAATTCTTTACACCTTCCTCGTGGATCTCGTCTTTCACCGGACGGACATCGTCCTGGGGCCTGAATGAAGTTCCTTCCCGAATTTGAATTCACGGATTCCGTGCGTACATTTTCCGGACACAAGATGCTCATGATGGCCGCCATGTCCTTGACGTCACAG